AGCTGCTATCAAGAACCAGGTGAAAATATGGAATAAAGCGGATTTCATCCCTATAACGTTTACATGTCTACCAAATAAGCAAATCTCCGCGTCATCTGAAGTAATTACAAGAACAGCGAACCTTGTCAGTAGCTAACTGAACAGGTGAAGTGAAATTGTAGTTGTAATTCTAGTACGCACCGATCACGAAATATTAATCACGAAATAGAAATCACGGACTCCATGTAAGCACCGGATCAAACTGGTACTTGCACATAGTGCACCACGCAACCGAGACGTGAGGAAAAGGTCACAGGAGTATTAGTTCGCTTATTGAAAGAAACTAGGGGGATTAAATAATATGCACAAAACAAGTTCATTGGTCATCCAAGCCTCTGTCAATCACGTGCTGGTATTTCTGGCGTTGTTCAGCTTCCGTCTGGGTCGCACGGTTTCTGATTGGTTAGTACAATCGACCAGAAGCTGTGACACGCACGCGCTTTGTTGACGTCACCCGTGAGGCATGATTGATCACAGTTGTCCTAAAACTGTAACGCGTCGCTCCAAGGTATGCGTCATCTAGCAGGCCGGGACCACCACAGACGGGCTGGAAAGTTTAAGTGCCTTCACAACTTGGTTTTTCGAACACAAATGGTACAGACGAATTACTACTGCTTACTACTGCTGTAGTCAGCATACCTGGATAATGCCTTTTTTGTTTAGGGGTTGAGCCACGCGGTATGACGTTCATGAATTTGTTTGGACAGTCACCTGTCCAGGTGGAACAAGTAAATGAGTTTGTTGTCTAGCTAATAGGGCAAAGGAAGATTTGAAATGAGAACAGTATAGACAGCGAGTTTCCGCCAGCAAGATGAATCTTTTCGGGCAATATGTATCCGGAACGTTTAATTAACAAAACGATTCATTGCAATGCGACAATTTGAAGATCTTAGTTAGAACTGTGTTCAGTATACCTGTTTTGGTCGTTCAATATGGACTCATCAACTGATAACACTGGAAGACGACTGGCCGACGCAGTTATTAGGACTTTCTATGCAGAGAAGTTTCATTTGCAGTTCACGTAAAATGGAATTGTATGATAGCGATTAAAAGATAAGCAGACCCGATTGGCAGTCTCAATGTGTATCCCCTCTATACTTTTTTTCTACTTCTGGTAAAATGTGCATACGTACGGTCAGGTGACTGTCCGAACAGACTCGTGTGTATATCATCCGCCACCCCTTCTCCCAATACTCAACACTCTCAAAACCATCGTGTCACTTACCAGTGCAGTGTAATAGTTACAAACCTAGCTGAAAGAATTCACATTCGGAACAGGACCGAAGCATTCCGTTCGCTGCGTAAGTTTATAACGTCAGTTATCAAGGTAGGCTTGCAAACGAATACTAGCCAGAACAGAAGCGATGGGAATTCGTGTGCACAATTCACTCCGTTCTGTGTGCCCCCAAAAACAACTGGCAAATCACTCCCACACACACACACACACACACACACACACATCCTGTAACATATAGGTAATCTCGATGTTCGGATGACAGTGTCGTTAATCCGATTTCCGGTATCATGATAAACTCATTTCTCGTAGTCTATAATGTGAAACTATTTTATTTTCATGTGAGTAATGGAGGATTTGATTAAGTTTCGCAATGCTGATGAGACCGAATCAGGTGGAAACAGTTGTCCAGTGCTTCCTAGCTTTGGAGTTCACATTTAATTTCCCATATACACGTGAAGAATTTCCATTTGAGATTATATATATATAATCTCAAATGGAAATTCTTCACGTGTATATGGGAAATTAAATGTGAACTCCAAAGCTAGGAAGCACTGGACAACTGTNACGAATCCATTATGGGGGATGAAATGCCTCGGTCACATTCACAATGTGATTTGTTTCAACTAGGTGTGAAGCTAATTTAACTAATTCTCCATTTCATCACAGTGACATGTGCATAAATGTATTGATCCATTAACTGTTACTTCGGCACACACATTGCTAGGTTCGTACAAGTTCCACCAATGTATTGTAAACTGGGTGATGATTTTAGATTCGAAATCCCGCGTCTTTATTCACCTCTGCGAAGCTTCACATCGAAGCAAGCTAAAAAGAAACATCATGATAAACATGACAGGTTCGATACTTAATTTGAGTAAAACGAAGCACGATAGAAACGCAAAAGGGAAAATATTTCCCAGTATCACTGGTTCCTTTTCTTCTCCTTCATTCCCTTGTTCAGGCGGCCGTAAGTGTCGGAAAGCAGGTCGATGTGAAATCGGTGATGGACACTTGGCTGTTACAAATGAACTACCCAATTGTCACGGTTGAGCGTGTTGGAAAAACGCAATTCCGTTTCGAACAAGCGCATTATTTAGATCCACCAAACGCGAAACCGCCAAAAAATCCATCCACTTATGGGTGAGTTCCCGTAAACTTTATGTGAGACATGATTCATGAGCATACGACAAACTAGTGAACACAATGCCCTACGTCGAAGTTTTGGAATCCCCTACAAAGTTTCACTTTTATGACTGCTACGATTCAACCTATCCCACACTTGCTCAAGATTCTGCAATTCATTGAACTACAAAATCTAACACAATCCGTTCGCGATTGGACACGATTATCGCTCACTTACGAGCAGCGAGCAATGAGTATTCTCCACTAGCGTTTATTGCGTTCAAATTATTTGATGAAATAGCTCTACCATGCTGAATTGGGTAATCCAATGGCAACAGTTTAATAAAGGCCTCTATTGCAACTGTTGGTAACTCACATCGGATTCCGTGCATTATGCGCTTGACAGTTGAAATGGTGTCATCACCAAACGCAGCACGCAACCGATCAGCACTCTTCTACTACAGTTGCTATTTTAAATCACATTTGTAGTCGTGGAAAATCATTCCCTTCCAGTGATATCGACTTGTTTCCATTTTTTACAGTTCGAGTATTGCGGTCCTCGTATAACTTGTGAGGTGCTTGTCTGTCGATATTTGATTCTATGTGAGTTTCAATCCCTGAACAATAGATTCACAATACGAGATTACAGTGCACCTTTTTCCTTGGCCCCGGTCATCTATCTGCACCTCGTACTCGTTCGTGTATTGCGTATCCGCAAGCGTTTTGCTCAGCTCTCGTAGACAGAGGCCGTTGATGACAAATACAACTATGCATAGAAACGTTCTTACTAAATGGGATGAAACATGATCGGTTGTAGCAGTACGGCATTCAATGGAGGCTACAAGGTCTACCAGCAGCGTAACTAGATAAATGAAGGACGCACACATGGTTAACTGGGTGCAAACAACGGCGGTGTGACGCAGATTACAAACTGTATCAATCAGAAAAGTATTGAATGTAGAAATACGAGAACCCGTAATGTACTGCTCAGAACTGAATTGGCTCCAACCCGAACTGCGGACACCAATGAAAAACACGCGGAATTGATAGCAGCAAATGCTTATATTTTTTGATGCAATTAGGTCGTGTTTTATAGAATGTAATAGTCCATATGATTAGTTGAACGAGCGTCCTCCAATCACGTAACCGTTAGCACCGACGCATCATATGTACTAATTCGGATATCATGTTCGCCCGGTGTACCATTGGTCGAGCTTCCTGAACGGTAATTGGATGACATAAAACTGTATCTGGTCATGCATGGATTACGGTCACGTATGTCCGGATCAGCGTTCGTGTATCCACAGTTTGGTCTGCAGACAACGGGTTCACCAGTCTCCTAGAAAGAATGACAAGTAAACGCATGAGAATGTCAAGGCAATGAGATAGAGTTCGACAAATTAGACGAGTGCACTTAAAGACAATAGAAAATCAATATCACGCATAGACGCGGACGTATCCAAACGGGGTAACAATAGGTCAGTTAGTCAAACGGGTTGGACATGGGCATGAAAAAACTCGTCATTTGATCACCAGGGATTGGAAGGGATCAATACCCATTTGTTATTGAAAATCAAACCAGTGGGAGATGAAAAATGAATGATAGAGAACGATTTATTTTAAGCAAAGTTTCGATTCAGTTAATTGATACCGTACTATGTTATCACTGTTTATACAATATGATGAGTTAAGAGGATCAATCGAATCATGTAGACATTGCCGTTACAAAAGAAATGATTCACCATGTTACTGGGGGCTAGTAAAAATAGTCAGTAGAACGGCTTTTTTGTTACGACCTGGTGTCTATCGCTTTTCTTGAACGAAAGTCACGGTCCGAGTTGATCAATACACTTAGATGTCCAACCGAGGCAATTATCAAAATGAGAATCAATAAGCTGGTTTGTTGGCTGGTTTCAAATTCGGGAAGTAACCAACTCATAACCTGTTATATCTTCCAATGTCGGCTTTTTGTCCTTTTACCTCTTCCGCTACGTAATGAGATTGTATAATGGATTCTTCGACCATTAACCATAATTTGCATCACTGATCAAAAGAGACCTTCCATCAGTCGGTAATCATGGCAAGAGGGTTGGGGTGGTAGATTCAGCTCCCTGCTTTCCAAATTACTGATAAGGGCTCCCAAGTTGGGGAGACTCAGTTCCGAGTCAGTCATTTTATCGATAATATATTGCTTTAAGCGTAATTTATATATTTTTAACGGTTATCCCTTGAGGTTTCCCGTCACAATGAGCAGGTAGAATCCACTGTTTTTACTAATGTTCCATTTGTAGATGAACGTTAACGTATAAGGAGAAAGTAATCTTCTTGGAGCTGTTTGTATTTAAGCACTTCGAAAACTGGTTGTGCACATGCTTTTCAGAAGTTCTTATCTGCCCACATAATAAGTGTAA